TACTATCCTTTTGTTGATTGAGTGATCTATGAAGTGGGTCTGCGAACGAGGTAATACTGTTTAGGCACCAATTGCCTGCAAGAATGGAAGTTCCGAATTGGAAGACCTTGCCAACCATTTGCCCTTAGTCTCTTCTCCCTATTTTCTTAGATTTCCCAAGCCTAACAAGACTAACCAGTGGTCTTTCTAATTGATACATTCCTCTTTTCAAAATATGCTAGATACATTCAATTAAGTTGCAGCCTAGTCTTGCCAAAGGGAAGCCATTTTTTTTAAGATCACTTGGCGTATTTCTGCTCTGATGGGATGATTTTAAAGGACTAGTGAGGAACCATTAAAAAAAAAAGTCAAAACAAAGAAGGTGAAGTGTTTAAAAGCTGTTCTTTTCATCCAAAATTGAAATAACTGTGAAAAAAAGTGCCTTCCGTCCTCTTTGGTGGAGGGATACCAACAACACAACAATCCAACAAGAAAGAAACCAAATACCCTGGCTTCCCTCTCCTCCAGCCCTCCCACCCCCAGCTAGTCCCCTTCATTGCCAAACCCCATCAGACGCCAGAGGACAAGAAAAGCTGTTGGTGCAGTCCACGAAGGGTCAGCCTCTGACAAACTGGGAAGGTACAACATAGACATGGGTAGAGAGTAGAAAGTGGTTTCAGAAGATCAAATGGAAATATGCAGCTCAGATCTGGGGCTGACAACTTGGAATATTTCTACTGTCTAGAAAAATATCACTGAGAAAATTTGTCTTGCTTTTTTTGTTTCATTTTTTACCATCAAAATGTTAAATTCTGGATAATCAGAAGCCAGTTTTTTTATCTTCTGTGCTAAAGCTAGATTATAGGTGTATAGGAAAGCTAGGCAGCTACACGTAGGTTCATCACTATTTGACAATTTAGTTTTTGGTAACCAAACTTACCAAGTATTTGAGAGCCTTGCTATACCCACCATTCCTGTCCCCGTGTAATTAAAACACATTTTAATATCCTAGCTGTAGAAGCTTGGTAGAAGAAAAAAGGTTTTAAGTTTCCATTATTACTAGATAGAGGTTTTCTCCCTCTCCCCTTTCTCTGGGGGAACTCTGGTGTCAGAAGTAAATGGCTTTGTGGAGATGAAGGTCCTGGGAATCTTTGGCCCTTCATAAATGCAGTTATAATCCTTATCTGTCCTCTAAAGACTATTTACTTAGAAAGGAGACCTTTAGCTTAGGACAGTTGTTTCAGGGTAGTATCAATAATTATTTTACTTCTAAGAGAAAAGCTATTTCTGGTAAAGGCTTGTTTTTCCTAATGAAAACTCTTTAACTCCAGTGGTCAGTATTGTTTGTGCGGGAGTCTAGCAGGAACCACACACTGGCAGTCAGGGCTGTAGCTTCAAGAGGAAACATGACTGCTTGTCTGGCGCTGACCAAGCCCCTTAATACGCTACTTCAGTTCCCTCAGCTCTAAAACGGGTATCCGTACTTATTAATATTCCTTGAGATTACAAATCAGATTAAGTTATAAGCCATTTCCAAAATGAGAAGAACTGTGGAAAGTTACAGGAACTCTAAGAAAGTAGAGGCTCCTAAGGAATAAAGAAACCCTCCATGGTGATCTGCCTCCCTGTGGATTTCGCTCCGTTACTGGAATTTCATAGGAATGTGTGCTCCTAGGACGAGGTGGGGTGGGGGCATGCCTCAGGGAGTAAAAAAATATCTGTACTGGTGGGCAGTATGTCTGTGGACTTTTAAACATCATGGAGCTAATTATACAGGCTAATGTTTTAATCCCTCTTCTTCCGGTCTCTAGGGTGTTTTCAGCAATCGTGTTTGGCGCAGTGGCACTAGGACACGCCAGCTCCTTTGCTCCAGACTATGCCAAAGCCAAGCTGTCGGCAGCCCACTTGTTCATGCTGTTTGAAAGACAACCTGTGATTGACAGCTACAGCGAGGAAGGCCTGAGGCCTGTGAGTTCTCTGCTGCCTTATGCGTGCTTGGTTAATTGTTTCCCCAAGGTCTGCTGTCTGCTCGGTTGTGGCCACAAGATAAATCTATAGTGATTACACTGACATTTATTTATCTTGGTGATATTTACAGATCTAGGATTTGGCCAACTTTCCTGGCATTTTAAAATTCCATAGGGAGTTTCAAGGATTCTGAAGTTTAGCACATCAAAAGTAAAAAACAGAAAAAAGTCCAGATGTACTGGAACTGGCTAATTGTTATGAAAACTGTTAGTCACTTTTGCATGAAGGTATATGCATATAATTCTATAAGTGAATGCAATGAGCAATTTGGCTGTAATCACATCTTGTAATGACTGAATTACAATTGGTAAGGAGGCCACTGTATTCACAGTGAGTCATCGTACACTTCACTATTTCCAAAGTGAACTCAAACTTGGTTAGGGGGGTTCTTGGCACAACACGAGCTGCTGTACATTTTACTGCACAAGAAGCAGTGTGGGTAGAGAGATAGGGACTTGATCTTTCTGGGACTTTACCAGGTATTCATGTTCTGAGAAAATTGCTGTGTTGGTGAGTGAGATAAAGAGGCTGCCAGGGCGTGGGACGGGCTGCCCACCGAGCCTGCAGGTGGAAACTGCCCTAAATTCCCACCCCTTTGAATCTTTAGCCACTGGCTTGGCTCCAGGCTCCCGATTGTCCTTTGAGAATGCTAAATATTTGTCTTAAACCAGAAATCAAGGTTAGATAAGCACTATCTATGAAAGGACTATTTAATGTAACCTGTAGCCCATCGCCCATCTTCATTTTATGTAACAGTTTTCTGTCCGTATTAACGAGTGTTAGCCCTTGTGCTGAATATGACTCTCATGTCTTTTTACTACAGCCTTTGGTCAAGTTTTCTTGAAATAATACTGTTTATTACCATAATGATCAGACCGATTACAATAGCAACAATAAAACAATTTTTTTCAGGATAAGTTTGAAGGAAATGTGACATTTAATGAAGTCGTGTTCAACTACCCGACCCGGCCCAACGTGCCGGTGCTGCAGGGGCTGAGCCTGGAGGTGAAGAAGGGCCAGACGCTGGCCCTGGTGGGCAGCAGCGGCTGCGGGAAGAGCACGGTGGTCCAGCTGCTGGAGCGCTTCTACGACCCGACGGCCGGAACCGTGGTACGTGCACTTTCTGACATCAGTAACCTGATTGAAGGCAGTATCTCAAGTGGCTAAACCAATATTCCCACAATGGAAAAACCTGAATAAGACCCACAGTCCTATTGGATAGAATGACCACATTCTGTAAACCCTAAACTGGCACCCAGAGTCAAACGGATATTGGAAGTCAGGTAGAACATCTGGAATTTAGTGTAGTTCTGAAAATAGTGAATATGAAGTTGACCTCTACCTGCCAGCCTTATCCTCCTAAGTAAACCCTCAGTTCCTGGTTTGTAAAGGAAAGCCCACGCTCCTGCCAGAGTGTTACGTAGGCTGCCAGGACAGGCCCATGCCTGCTTCTTCCCTCCCCACCCACTTCTGCTTTGCCTTCTCCAACCCTGCACTCCAGGCTCTCTGACTTTGGCCCTCACCTTCAGCCCATTCGGGTTTGGCTTTCATCATTGATTTCCTGGTATCTAGCTCTGGCTCTCTTCCCTAAGTGAAGCCTCGGCTCTGAAAATGCCTGCCTCTTCCATCACCTTGGGTCACACCCACTGACCTAGCCCTGGGAGCCCACCCCCATGTAGACAGTCACCGAAGGGTTAAACCTTGTTGTTTCTTTTTGGAAAACCTTATGCTTCCACCATTACAGTCACTCGGCAGTTATGAACACAGGCAGTCCAGCTCAGCACTGTGGCTATGCTGAGCTAATACTGTGGCGGGAATTTCTTTATTGAGGGGTCAAGACTAATGGAATCTGTGTCTGTTTCTTCTCTGGTGACTCTAACCTTGCGGGAAGCTGCGTTGCAGTCACTACATCTCAAGGCTGCTCTGGAAGCATCATGCCTCCTGCTTACAGCAAACAAAAAATAATCAAAACTGCCACCAACAAAACCATTCTCCCGAGGACACTGCCCCCTGACCTTGCACACTTCCCCTTGAACTTTTGTCCTTGGTGCTGTCAAAGAGAGAACAGTTAGGGCCGGTAGATCTCAGGGGAAAGAGAAGTAGAAGTAGGTCAGGAGGTAACCAGCTTCCAGAATCTGCATTTTGTTCTGGTATGCCTGCTGGAGGGGGATAAAGTCAAGTTGAAAGGGAGTGATTCCGGGGATGAGTAGAGCAGGTATGAGTAGAACACCTAATTTCGGGCTTCTTAAAGGCAGGGGATGGTACCCTTGCCTGAAGAAGGGCAGATAAGGACGAAGAGAGGAATATGAAAACAGGACCAAACGTGCTGTCATTTTGCCAGTTAGACCAAGAAAGGGACAGCATGATCATCATAAAAATCATTTTGTTGGCTATGTTGGCCTCCAACAGTGTAAGGTGACACGCAAACTCATTTTTTGGTTGATTTTTCTTTGTTAAATGGCATTTAAATATATAAGATAAATATCAAAAATATAAGTCTTTGTTTTACTATGGTTGCTAATATCAAAAAATTTCTGTATGTGACACGGCACCAGAGTTAAGTTAGGGTTTTTCAAAATGCTGACACACCGAGCTCAAAAGGAACAGTGTAAGTGTGTAGGGGCTGTGAGGCTTGGTATTTCATAAACTGCTGATGCCCATATGCACCCAAATCCTCCAAATGATTCATCTAGTAACTTAGCGCCTAGTTCTCTTTTCTTTTCAAGCCTTTCTTATAATTTGTGGACTTTGGTTTTCAGCTGCTAGATGGTCAAGAGGCAAAGAAACTCAACGTCCAGTGGCTCAGAGCCCAGCTCGGGATTGTGTCCCAGGAGCCCATCCTGTTCGACTACAGCATTGCCGAGAACATCGCTTATGGAGACAACAGCAGGGTGGTATCCCAGGATGAGATTGTGAGTGCAGCCAAAGCAGCCAACATACATCCTTTCATCGAGACCTTACCCCATGTAAGTTAACTGGTAACTTCTCAGGATGAAATCAGAATCAACTGCGCACTGTTTCCCTCCCCAACACAGTTCCCAAAGTCAAACGCCACAGAATGTGTCTATGTACTAGCTCTCTGACCTTGGACAAGACATGGAACTTCACGATACCAAGTGTCCTTATGTCACGTCTACCTCATACAAATGTAGTGAGAAGCAAATAAGGTGATATTAAGTTAACGCACCATATCGCAGGTTGCGAACTGGTGGGCTCCATTCAGACCGTGGCCAAGTATCCCTGGTGATACTTTTTTTTTTAATTAAGCACTTTGAGATAAGTATAGATTCACATGCAGTTGTAAGGAATCGGGGGATCTTATATACCTTTTACCTAGTTTCCTCCAAAGACAAAATGGCAAAACACCATGATATTGACATTGATACAATCCCTAGATCTCATTCACACTTCATCTTACATGTATACATTTGTATATGTGTGTATTTAGTTCTGCCAATTTTACTGCATTGCAGATTCATGTATCCACTATCAGTCAAGACACAGAACATTCTATCACAACAGAGATCCCTCATGTTGTCCTTTTATAGCACACTAGAGGCCCGATGCATGAAATTCATGCATGGGTAGGGTCCCTAAGCCTGGCCAGCAATCAGGGCCAATCTTCGGGGCGACAGGGCCCCTGCTGGCACCTGCCTTGGCTGGCTTGGGGCCTGCGGGCTGGGTGCAGCTCCTGCATTGTCTGCCCCCTAGTGGTCAGTATGCGTCATAGCGACTGGTTGTTCCATGGGTCATTCAGCCATTCAATTTGCATATTAGGCTTTTATTATATAGAATACCCCTCCTTCCCATTCTCACTCCCCCAACCTCTGCAACCAGTAACTGTTCCTCATTTCTGTAACTTTTCACCTTTAGAACATTATATAAACTTACAGTATATAACCATTTGCGATTAGCTTTTCTTGGCCTAATTCCCTAAAGTTGTGTTCATCCCTTTTTATTGCTGAGTAGTATTTCACTGTAAACTGAACCAACTCAATTTTTACTTTTATCCATTCTGTGCGTTTTTGGCTTAGAATGTTCTCTCAATATCAAGCTTACCAACTTTTCTACAAAAGTATAATTTATCTCCCCTTTCTCCTTCTCCCACCTTATCTCCACAATTTCTATTTCCCTCTGTGATCTTTCATAGCATGTTGCCTATACTACTCATTTGGTACTTAACTTGTATTGAATGCTGAATATGTATTTCTCTTTAGATTTTAATTCCTTCAGGGTAGGAATAAAGCCTGATTCATTTTTACACACTTCCCACAGTTCTAAGCATAACAGATACTCAGGAAATATTTGAGTGAATGAGTTTAAAAGAGAATAAACTGGGTTCCTTGTTGGTCATCTGATTATATCAATTTTTAAAGAATTTTAAACCTTACACATTAACATTTAACCTTTTTAGGACATCAGATGACATATGGATAATGGTAGGAATTCAAGAATTTGTTGCAGAATACCATTGAGAATTAAGGTCGCTCATTTTCTATTTGGATTTTGAAAACAAACTTTCTGTTAAATGTAAAAAAACATTAAATGGACAACTATGTAGCTGTTACAGAAACTTTTTATTGATTCCAAATTATGTTTCCTTATAAGCAGTACTGTCATAAGTAAAAGTTTATTCATTATAACATTAGTAATTTTGCTGGGTTAGGACCTTAATTAATTTTGTTGACCGACTTGCAGAAATATGACACAAAAGTGGGAGATAAGGGGACTCAACTCTCAGGAGGTCAAAAACAGAGGATTGCGATTGCCCGGGCCCTCATCAGACAACCTCGAATCCTGCTGTTGGATGAAGCTACATCCGCTCTGGATACTGAAAGTGAAAAAGTATGGCCTTCCACCTCACATCCTATTTAATTTGTAAAACAGAGGGTTTTTGTGCTATTAGCCATGAAAAAAAATAATATGCAAGCACAGAAAAAAGTAAATAGAAATTTAGACAGTGGTTATTTTGAGGTAGAATATTTTTATTCCTTTCAGTATTTTCCAATTTTTCTAAAATGATCATGTATTACTTTTAGAAACACACTAAAAGTAAAGCATTCAAAAGAAAAGGCTGCATAAATCATTTTAGCATATTCTAATGGAAAACAATACTCAATAAAAGGGAACTAGTTAAGTAAAATATTTTGTGACTAGTTAGAAATTTTAACTACTTGTGAAGATTATAGTGACAATCCATTTTTATTATAATTGAAAAGAACATAACTATGTAATGTCAAGTTATATTAATACACAGGTATAAAGGCAAATATTCAAAGAGATAAGAAATGAAATTTTATTGCTTGGATGGTAACATTTTTTAATTTCCTTTAATGCTAACACCTATTTATATAATTAAGATAAGACTTCTGATCTGATTTATTAATAGATTGTCCAAGAAGCCCTGGACAAAGCCAGAGAAGGCCGCACCTGCATTGTGATCGCCCACCGCCTGTCCACCATCCAGAACGCAGACCTGATAGTGGTGTTTCAGAACGGCAAGATCAGGGAGCACGGCACCCATCAGCAGCTGCTTGCACAGAAGGGCATCTACTTCTCCATGGTCAGCGTCCAGGCTGGGACGCAGAACTCATGAACTCTTGTTACCGTGTATCTTAAAAAATAAACTCAAATCATTCTACAACTTTTGCTGACTTGCAAAAGAAGTTTCTAAGTCATCGTAAAATACAGGTACATCCAATTGGGGGGTTTGCTATTACAGCATTTGAAATTTTGGAGTTATAAATCATCAAGACACATTTCTTGATGAAATATGTTAACAGCTTAGCTCTTCCTGAGTTTTCAGAAACATACAGGGGGAAAAAAAGCAAAGTTCAGGTGTATAAAGCTGTAGAATTAGTAGAAGCCACAGACATAGGGACAGTTATTATGGTCCTGAACAGTTGGGTAGATGGATGTTTGGAGAACATTTCCCCAAGTACAAAGAAAATGTGAATTGTTCAGAAGCCTACTCTCTCCCTTGGTAGGTTTCCAAATTATTCTACTGGGCATTGATTTTTAAAAACGAATGTATCCCCAGCTTTAGGATAGTCCAAGAGAAGATACAGTTTCCCTCAGACAAGGTAACTCTGCAGGCGCACATTCATTCTGTAAAGCAAAAAGAGATATCATTAAGTATTTCTTTTAAAGAAATGTTTAAACTCATGAATAATTATTGTACATATATCAGTACAATTTGTAACACTGGAAATATCAATAATAAAATTCTTTTTCTATAACAACTGTATTACTTTTTCCAAATACTACTAATATTCCCATTTTTCCAAATAATTCTAATATTCCCAGGATGTGAACCCACTTCTCTAACAAGAAAGAAATATATTTAGATGAAGGGCTAAAAGAAATATTTCAGGCAACCCTTGGAAACTAACCACATTACAATGTTTTTTTTCCACAGTTTACCTCAGCAAAATCAATTATTTAGGTCGGTATTCAAACCAAATTCTTCTACCTGTAATAAACCATATACTGTATTACCAAAGATGTTTCAAATGTGACCATGTGTATCACTAGACAATTTCAGATTAAACAAGAGGAGAACGGGGCAAGGGGCATTAGCACAGTGACTCAATGTGAGCAGAATTCAACTTACTCTTGTGTAATTATTCCCAAAGTTGCCTGATGAGGATCATGGGGCATCCGCCCTGGAAATGGACTCAGCAGGTCTGGGTCAGGCCCAAGAATCTCTCTGGAGAGATTCCGGGTGATTTTTAACTTGAGGCAATGTAGGGAAACGTGTTAAAGCAGGAGTAAGGAGAGGCTCCTCTCTAGGAGGTGACCCATTGCTAAAATACTATTTAGATAATATTTAAAAACAATACACCAAATGACTAAAGTGCCTGGAAATTTAGTCTACAAAATTGTACTAGTGAGGGAGAGGTCCAGAGTTCATAGAAGCCAACTCTGAATTTTTTCACAAAGAAATACACCAGACTTACCAAATTCAGAACATATGAAAATGTAAGAACAAAAAGGACATCCAACCAATCTATTAAAAATATTGTCATTTTTATGTGACAGATTGCTGCCATTGTCATGTCCCCTCTTGTGTCTATTTACATTTTTTATAAGAGGGTCTCATTTTTTATTTTTTAATATTTTTATTGATTTCAGAAAGGAAGGGAGAGAGAAAACATCAATGATGAGAGAGAATCATTGATCAGCTGCCTCCTGGCAAGACCCCTGCTGGGGGATCGAGCCTGCAACCCGGGCATGTGCCCTTGACCAGAATCGAAACCAGGACCCTGCAACTTCTACCTTTCCTCTTTAGAACACCCACTGCCAAGTATAGAAATCCAGTTAAAATACTGAATGATCAGACAGCACGTGGAGAGAGCCCCAGCCACCAGTCCCAGACAGTGGTAAGGCCATTTCAGCCTTACCAGCCACAGCCAGCAGCTGCATACATGACATCGAACCTGGGACCCTTCAGTCCACAGGCCAATGCTCTATCCACTCAGCCAAACCAGCTAGGGCTTTACTTACATTTTCTTAAAGTCATTTATGAAATTGACTTTGCTGCTCCTCTTAATCCAAAGGTGAGACTTTCCCCCCTGATCCCTTAAATCTGGACTGTCCTTGTAACTTGTTTTAACCAACAGAATGCAAAAGATGTGACATCATGTGACTTCAGAGCCTAGACCTCAAGAGGCCCTGCAACTTCTACCTTTCCCCTTTAGAACACCCACTGCCTAGTACAGAAATCCAGTTAAAATACCGAATGATCAGACAGCACGTGGAGAGAGCCCCAGCCACCAGTCCCCAGACAGTGGGTAAAGCCATCTCAGACTTACCAGCCACAGTCCAGCAGCCGCATCCATGACTCAGGCAAGACAGAAGCAGACCTCCAAACGGGCACCGTCAACTGACACAGTCGTGAGGAATAATACGTTGTCGGAAGCAGGAAGTTCGGGGTGGATTATTACACAACAATTTATAACAGGTCAGAAAGTATAAGGTCAAACAGGAATGAACCACTTATTCAAACACAAGAAGCTATATGATTTTGAGTTTTATTTTCTGAGGATAGAAACTACAAAATTGAACAGAAGAGGAAAAAAAACAACCACTAAAATCCTGAGAATCTGATTCAATATTTAATCCTTGTAGTCATTAATTCTGATACCTAATTTTAAATATAAGTGCTTTAATTTTATACACTAAAATGAATTTTGTTAGGGTTTTTTTAATAAGTGTCAGAGGGTAGAAACCTCCCTACTACAACTTACTTTTTCTCTGTTCAACAGAAACTTTTTTTTTAATCCTCATCAGGAGATATGCTCATTGATTTCAGAGAGAGGGAGAGGGTGGAAGGGAGAGAATTAGGGAGAAATATTGATGTGAGAGAGAACATCGATCGGCTGCCTTGCATACATGTCCCGATCAGGGATCAAACCCACAACCTAGGTATGCGCTCTGCCCAGGAATTGAACCCACAGCTTTTCAGTGCACAGGATGACACTCCAATCAACTGAGCCACCCTGGCCAGGTCATCAGAAACTATTTTTGTTAATCACCATTAACTTGTAGTGGTCTTTCCCAAATATAGTAAGCTTGTATCCCTGTGGTGAATGTGAAAGACACTGATCTCAGGGAAATTAGCATCCAACCAGGTATCTCATACCCTTTGGCAATTAGAAAATGTTAAAGTGCCTGAAAGATAGACTCTATAACAGTGATTTCCAACCAGTGTGCCGTGGCATTTTTAATAAGTGACTAGTCAGGGACACTGACCTCTTTTCCCTTAGATTGTCCAAAAAAAAAAAAAAGTGACAACAGCAAACAGAATAGCTGTCCAGGGTGAATGAATCAAAATTATACCTATTTTTTGGTCATATTGGCAAAAAATACATTTTTTGATGTGCCATGAAATGAAAAAAGTTGAAAATCACTGCTCTACCATGATGTTCAGAGAAGGAATTTATAACCTTTACAAGTATCAATAAAAATATTTAAAAGTTAAAATTAGAGTTGCATTGTTAAATTTTGTAGAATTGCATTGTTGAGGCTTAAACTGTGCATAGTTCTATAATCACTATATTAAAATTTGCATTGCTGCTGCATCAGAGGAAGCTTAAAAATATTTCTACTTTGTATGCCAGTATAGGTTTAGAGAGCATGATTCTATTAATTTCTACATTTCCTTCAAGTTGACCCTCCTCCTTACCTCCCCTCAGCAACCCACTCCCAGCACCCAGTTTACATGGTCTAACTGGTAAGTGCTTAGTGCACAGTGAGTCTCTAGAGATGAGCGGAGTTCATCAGCTGCATCATATCCTGGAAAGCGTGGAAAATCAGCTGAACCAGCTTCTCCGCGTCAGTCTCCGCACAGGATTTCCAGGCTGAGCAGGCCACCACAAACCTGCAAAGAACAAGTAATAAACGGTGAAGTACGAGGTGAAAATCACAACCCCGAAAAGCTCCACATGGCTGGCTGCTAGCATGTGAAGCGCGACTTCCGCCTGGCAGGAGGTACATGGAAGCTGACGCATGGAAAGTACAGGCTTCGTTACACATAATGCTGGGAACACCGAATGCGCTACGTGACTGAAGACTAAGGACAAAGGGGGACAAAACACGAGCCAGAACTCCCAGTGCTTGGAGCAAGGCCTTGATGTGTTATAGAAACACCCACCTCTCCCCTAAAACAGACCTTTCTGCTCGTGCTCTGAATGGAATGAGGTGGAATACGAATTCATGCCATTGTTTGCAATAAAACCTGAACTTTTAAAAAATATATATTTTATTGATTTGTTACAGAGAGGAAGGGAGAGGGATAGAGAGTAAGAAACATCAATGAGAGAGAAACATCGATCAGCTGCCTCCTGCACATCTCCTACTGGGGACGTGCCCACAACCAAGGCACATGCCCTTGACCAGTATCGAACCTGGGACCTTTCAGTCCGCAGGCCGACACTCTATCCACTGAGCCAAACCGGTTAGGGCAAACCGGAACTATTTTAAAGAAGAATACAGGACTTGAAAAGAGTAAAAAATAAATAAAATAAAATAAAATAATAAAATAAAATAAAATAAAATTAAATTAAATAATAAAATAAAATAAAATAAAATAAATAAAATAGAGAAATATAAGAGGGGGGAAAGCTACTTCTAGGAAAGCCAGAGGGAAGCTCTCTTGGGACCATCTTCCACATATCTCCTCGGTCCTCCTGATGAAAAAAATCCCCGTCTGGCAAGGGGTAGAGTGGCCCTGGAAGCTCAAGGACATAGGAAATGTGCTCAAAGCAGAAACCGGGCTACCGACCGACTCTCTTGGAATTGGCCTTCTCCTTTCCAGACACTCAAATTTATTCCAGCAAAACATACACTAAGCTCCAGGTAAAACCAAAATGTTGTGCAATGTAAAGCCTTGGACAACCGTGCAATTTTCACAACACTATAAAGAGACAGTATATTATATATCTTTGACATGTGCTTTAGTTCAACAGAATGAAGTAAAAACATGCTCTGGCCACGATAAAATGATGAGACTAATATCCAAGGGGATTATATCTGCTCGAAGACACACAGGAACCTACAGAAAGCCCTGCCTGTTTTCACCCTTGTCATTTTCCAGCTACACTGCATGTAATTATCAAAGTTAGCAACATCTAAATATATTCCTTTGCAAAGATCAACAATTCCTATTTAAATGTCAAATTTCTCAGAAATTCCATTATCGCCGAAACCGGTTTGGCTCAGTGGATAGAGAGTGTCGGCCTGCAGACTGAAAGGTCCCAGGTTCGATTCCGGTCAAGGGCATGTACCTGGGTTGCGGGCACATCCCCAGTAGGAGATGTGCAGGAGGCGGCTGATCAATGTTTCGCTCTCATCGATGTTTCTGACTATCTCTCTCCCTTCCTCTCTGTAAAAAATCAATAAAATATATTTTTTTAAAAAAATTCCATTATCTTTCTAAATTATAGAAAGAAATAACTATCTTCACAAAAAAATGTACACAGATGCCAGTAACAAAGAAAAAATGGCTTGTTCATCAGTAAAGAATTATTTTTGTTATTTTTCCCTATAAATTGGTAAGGAATGTTTTAGATGCCTAGAGTTGGTAATGATGTGATGAAATAAGGAAGGATATATTATCATTATTTCTAATAACGAAACACTTGAAATTGTACGTTAAGAGGTTTAATTATGGAAATCCTTACGACTAGACATTATTCAACCATTAAAATTGCTCAAAGAATAGTCTATGCATTGGGAATTGCTTTAAATAATATTAAATGAATAAAATTCACACAAAGGACATGAAAATATTTGTAATACGATCTACAGTTTTCATTATTGTACAGAATTTTTATACTGAGCATGTAGTACATTTAAAATAAGATGCTATTTCAAAAATAAACCCACTTAAGTCATACCATTTTCCCACTTAACAATCAATGAGAAAACCCTTCCAGACAGTTTACATGCATTTTCCATCTGCAGTGCCGCCAAGCCTGCTCACTTCTTAGTTGCGTGCTGAATGCAGCTACATTATTATAATTTTTTTCTGAGTTGCTCCGGTATGCAGCTCTCAGGCATGCATCCGTGTTGAGCAGGGAATTCTTTGTTGAATTACAGGTGGTTGTTCTGTTGAAATGTCAGGGGGAGAGGACAGACACACCCTCACACCGCCACTCCTCGGCCGTCACTCGCCACATTATGTTTTATGAGCTCCCAGGCTCGGAAAGGTCCCTGTGAAGAGCCTGCCAGGCTGTGAACAGGACCTTCAAGCCTTTCTGTCAATTCCATGTGTCCTTCTTTCCCACCTCTCTCTCCCCTACCAGGCTTTAATATTTTCTTTCTTATTCTTTCCACAAACTTAACTCAAACTCCAGAAACCCAAATGAAATACACAATCAATGCCTCAGTGGTTAAAAAAAAAAAATTACCCATTAACAAATGGCAGGTGATAAAACAATCGGAATCACAGTGTAGGAAAGACATTCAAACAACGAAAGCGGTAGCTTTCTTACTCTACAGCACAGGAAGAGTCAGCAGAGTGCCTCACCTGTCGTCTCTGATGTGGTAGAACACCCCGTAGCCGCTGTGTACCATGGGCACCACCACTCCCTGGACCCTTAAGTAACCAATCAGACTTGTCGAGAGAACAAAGTTTCCACCTCCTCCACTGCAGCACAAAGGGAAGAGATTACATGAGGCTTACAGAAGCTCACGCGGTTTCTGAAGAGCTTTTAACACGGGGGTGGGGGGGGGGGGGGAGGCGGTAAAGTGGCCCTGGAAGCTCAAGGACATAGGAAATGTGCTCAGAGCAGAAACCGGGCTACCGACCGACTCTCTTGGAATTGGCCTTCTCCTTTCCAGACACTCAAATTTATTCCAGCAAAACATACATCAAGCTCCAGGTAAAACCAAAATGTTGTGCAATGTAAAGCCGTGGACAACCACGCAACATAAAGCACTACATCCTGTTACCTTCTGGAGAAGAGTGGGTCGGTAAAGAGCTCTGGGACAGGGAGACCTTCCTCTCTTGCTATGAGTGAAAGGCCTAAAAGATGACGGTCAAATCCTGCAACGAAACCCCCAACCTGAAGTTAGAAAATATTTTCAACATGAGAGAATTTTGTTGAAGGTAGAGTAATTACAATGTGAGTACCTTTTCCAGTTGAACAATCTTTCATCATTTTATTATGTTTTTCAAAAGCTTGTAACATCATTTGCTTCCTCTCAAGAGCCTGTGTTAAAAAAAAACAACAAGAGATACTTCAATAACAAACGGTAGAGAAACCAAACAAATAAAAAACCTGAGCTCAAAGGAATGAGGCTGCGGGTAACGGGGGAGGGACAGGGTTTTCCAGGAAGACCTTGAGACACGTGCTGCCGTGTCTTTTCCTCGCTGTCCGCTGCTTTTCCTTTCCTACGTGCCCTGCATCTCGGTTCTTTCTTTCCAGAGACAGGAAAGCAGGAACTTACGGGCAGCACTGAAGTGACATTGTCAAGTGTAAAGAAAGAAGCAACTCTGACTTCAAACTAAAGAACAGTCCTACAAAATGATAATGATGCAGTGCTATGAAATAAAACAAAGTAACTTATACTATGTCTATCAAAAGTAAAAAACAAATACAATGGAGCAGTGGGAAGGAACTATCCTGTTGTCTAAATGCTTCCAAAGGTACAAAACAAAACATATAAAACTGTTCTGGTTCTCACATATGAGAACAAGAATCTGTGATTTCAGAAACGTTCCACCACATTCAGAAAAACGTCCTCTCCTGAAGGGTCCCGGGTTTGATTCTGGTCAAAGACATGTACCTTGGTTGCGGGCACATCCCCAGTAGAGGGTGTGCAGGAGGCAGCTGATCGATGTTTCTCTCTCATTGATGTTTCTAACTCTATCCCTCTCTCTTCCTCTCTGTAAAAAAATCAATAAAATATATTTAAAAAGAAAAGAAAAACATCCTCTCGAAAGCACCTTGGGGGTGTCTGCATCTCCCTGGTGTTACTCTAAAGGGGAGCAATCGTAGTGAAACACTCGAGGCACTGATGATGCGGTGCCTAGAAAAGGCACCCATGGGCTTCCTCCCAGGGGCTCCCCTTTCCTGTTCTTTCCACCTACGTTCTTCCCTGTCAAATGAACAAACAGATGTTTTGAAAACTTCAGGCAAAAAAAGTCTGACAGCATTTTACTGAGCCAGGAGAGTTGAGGGAAAGAAGCTAGTTCTTTAAGGGCCAAGGCTCCCTGAGAACAAAGAAATTCTGTAAATGCTCACACTGGCCGCAGGATCCTGCATGCACTGGCACCACCTGACTGCTTCCACTGTACACGATCGCACCGTCTCCGTTCGGCCATGATAAAAAAGTCTTGTCATGGCTGTTTCATAGCAGCAACCAGGGCTACAAGGAAAAAAATGGAATAAGAGAATGTATTATTCTAACGAAAATGCTCTGTTATCACCTTACGCTGGCTTTGGTCGGAGACTAAGTTCTATTAACACAAGACTACAGTTGAGACTTCCAACAACGAAGATGCTAATTCCAATATCAAAGAATAAAAACTACCCTCGTACACAGGGCCTGGGGTGAAATGGAGTGTTTCAAAGGCTTGGCTGCGGTCCGGGTGTGCACACTGGAGTCTGTGGCAGGTGGCTGTGTGACTGCCCCACAGTGATCCCTGTCTCTCACTGTTCGTGCCCTTCACTTTGAATGTGGGATGGACTTAGTGACTTAGTTCACTCAGAGCTCGCTCTTACTCTCACCTCCTTGCTCTGAGGAAAGCCAGCTGCCATGCTGGGAGCTGCCCTGCAGAGAGGCCCAGGTGGCGAGAAACTGAGGGAGGCCTCTGCGCAACAGCCTGGCAGGAACTAAACCCCACAAATAACCACATGTGTGAGCTTGAAGCAGATCCGCTCTGAAAGTACCTGCAGATGAGAACACAGCCCTAGCTGACACCCTGACTATAACCTCACAACAGAGCTGAAGGCAGAGGCACCGAGCTAAGCTGCAACTGGACTGTTGACAGAAAATGTGAGGTGACATGCCCTGGCGGGTGTGGCTCAGTTGGTTAAGCATCGTCCCTTGTCCCGAAAGGTTGCCAGTTCAGTTTTTGGTCAGGGCACATGCCCAGGTTGCGAGCTTAATCCCAGTCAGAGTGCATGCAGGAGGCAGTCAATCAATGTCTGTCTGTCTGTCTGTCTTTCTCGCTCTCTCTCGGAAAAAAAAGGTAGGAAAAAAACATTGTGAGTTAGAATGAAGTAGCTATGGTAAAGATATATCCTTGGAGTTCAAGAGCCTGAAGAAGGAAAATGAATGTCCCCATGCTCAAAGTCACTAATTATACGAGAGATGCAAATCAAAACGACAATGCAGTATCATCTCACACCTGTCAGAATGGCCATCATCAACAAATCAACAAACAACAAGTGTTGGAGAGGATGCGGAGAAAAAGGAACCCTTCTGCACTGCTGGTGGGAATGCAGACTGGTGCAGCCACTGTGGAGAACAGTATGGAGCTTCCTCAAAAAACTAAAAATGGAACTCCCATTTGACCCAGTGATCCCACTTCCAGGAATATATCCCAAGAAACCAGAAACACCAATCAGAAAGGATATATGCACCCCTATGTTCATAGCAGCACAATTTACCATAGCTAAGATTTGGAAACAGCCTAAGTGCCCATCAGCAGATGAGTGGATTAAAAAACTGTGGTACATCTACACAATGGAATACTATGCTGCGGTAAAAAAGAAGGAACTCTTGCCTTTTGCAACAGCATGGATGGAACTGGAGAGCATTATGCTAAATGAAATAAGCCAGTCAGAGAAAGATAAATACCACATGATCTCACTCATTTGTGGATTATAGAGAACAACATAGACTGATGAACAGGGACAGATCCAAAGACAGAGAAACAGCAATCAGACTATCAATCCCCAGAAGGAAAGTAGGGGAGGGAGGGGGTAAGGGGAAGAGATCAACCAGAGGACTTGTATGCACACATATAAGCCAAACCAATGGACACGGACAACAGGGGGATGAGAGCATGAGTGGGGGTGGGGAGGATGGGGGTTAATGTGGGGGATGAGGACACATTTGTAATTCCTCAACTAATAAAGAATGAAAAGAAAATGAATGTCCCTCACCGTCCATGAAGTCTATAATAGGCCAGCTGAAGTGCAAGCTGAATAAATGCATCAGGGTGAAGCATCTTCTTCTTGGTTAGCTTTTTGCCAAAATGTGTAAAGGGATATGCCACAACCTGCAGATCAGATGCCTAACAGAAAGAATTAAACGGGAACAGTGAATAATCAGCTAAGGAGAACATCCCAAAGATAGCCAGGTTATCATTTGCATTAAAGTAATTCAGACACAGTTAAAGGTATTAGAGCTATAATTTAAGTGTTTCATACTGTCATACTTAGATGCTAGCCAAGTGCACACTTATTTTTATATACAGTAGTTAAAAGAGATAGCATGCCCTGGCCAGGTGGCTCTGTGGGTTGGAGTGTTGTCCAGTACACCAAAAGGTTGCGGGTTCTATCCTGGTCGGGTGCGTATGGGAGGCAATCAATTGATGTTTCTCTCTCTCTCTCTCTCTCTCTCTCAAAAAAAAAAGTAACAAAAAAACATAGGATAAAAAAAGAGAGAAGGCATTACTATCTAAAAGAAAAGTTAAAAAATCTACCTGCTTGAGATACTGGGCTTTAGCTTGATTGATGTCACTTAATACTTTCTCATCCACAGTGAAAACAAGCTCCTCTGGAAGTGGCATATCCCGTGCTTTTTCTGAACCCTGAGTAGGGAAGAATTAAGAATATTATATTTATAAAAACATGAGGAGAAAGAAAGCTAAAATATTTGTTCTAACATACCTTCCATCTTCCTTCATTCTCCAAAATCTTCTCATCAACATAATAGCTGATGCTTACCATAACCATTGCATCATAAGGAGCATGCTGAAATGAAAATACACATTATTTTGAATACATTATATCAAGTTGAAACTTGACCCAATATTTTATTTTCACTCTTCCTCTTCTTTCACACATGTGCCCTGACCAGGAATTGAACCAGCAACCTCTCGGTACATGGGACTATGCTCAACCAACTGAACCACACCAGCCAGGGCAGTGGCCACTATTTTTTTTTTCTTTTTCTTTTCCACTGTGCAACCTGCTTCGGTTCCTGCAGCCTATGAGCAGAGGCCGGGCGATGGTTCAAGGCTGCAGCGTGCTCTGGCCTGGGGCATATGAGAGACCCAGAGGGACAGGCCTGCCATCAATCCAAACCCAAGCACTCATTTTTAAACAGCATGTTACGCGTACTGCCTTCATATAAATGAAATAAAAATGGTCAAACTTAGGTGGACAAATAAAGCATCAGGAAAGCATTAGAATTTTTCGTATTTTCTAATTTTTTGAAAGTATTAGCTTTCCACCAGGGGGTGGATTGGTAGAATTATAAGTTGAACAGATGTATATCCATTAGTCTTACTCTTTGTAACTGGTTCCAGTAAGAGTTAGAGATTAAAACCATTATCCTTAATGAAACAATGTATGTGATGTCTGTGAAAATTCTTTGTAAATCTATAAAGCACTACACAGTTGCGAGATGCAGTTAGAAAAGGGGTTTGTCAGTTTGTTAGGTGAGCTGTTACTGACAGGTGGCCTCAGCTGCTTGAGCATCTTGTACTGACCTCCCTCATGAGCCCTTCCTGATATTGTGGCTGCTACCTACTTGGCAACATTACACTGTGCTCCGAGGCTCCACTGGGCCCTGGTCCAGGGCAGCAGAGCTATGTCATGTTGGGCTGATATGTTAGACACCTTGTTTCTCCTTGTGAACCTGGGCCGCCCATGTGGGCTGTGTTTATAAGTTAAGCCCCCTTCTTCCTCCCCGAGGCTGTCACATTCAGTTCATGAATGGTGATTGTATTTAACATAAAGTGGTAGCAGCAGCACAGAGAAAAAGACTGTCTGATGGAACATCAAAGGAACATGGAGAAAATATGGCAAAAAGTTTGTCCTTCAAAATAAACGATGGAAAAATTCATTAGCTGCAATTCCTTTCTCTAGATATAGCTTTCAAACCTGTAACACCGTGTTACCTAGCCCATCTTTCCCACAGTCCTTAAACATTGAGCATTATTTCTGCCACTTCTGAACACTCTTGTAGATCTGTGAATACAATTATTATGCTTTTTAACTCATCTAGTGGGCCTATGTCTTTACCTAAAGTTCATGACCATCCTCTATTTAGCCTTCAGAGAGTCCGCCATCCCCACATGCTTTTGCAGTGCTCTTACAATTCCAGATCACCTTCCATTGCATCCATATGCCTGCTCTGACTTCCAGTACAAAAAGCAAGTATTTTCTTCAGATGGTTCATGTTTACTGCACACCCTCCCCATTACCTGATTAGGTGCTTCCAACTTTAAATATTTGTTCTTTCTCAGAAAATAAAATATGACAATTATTATACTTTACAATATTCATATTTTGATCACTAGATGATAAGGGCATTTGAGAATTCTGCACTTCTTTTCATGTTTCGGGCTGGATTCCCAGCAGGGGGCCTGCAGGAGGCAGCTGGTGATGTTTTTCTCTCTCTCTCTCCCTTCCTCTTTCTAAAATCAATAAAAACATACTTTAAGTAATAAATAACAAATAATAAAGTTGTGGACGTTGGTTCTGAGTCCACACCCCACTATCTGCTGCTGTGCAATTGTGAGAAAGTTACTTAATTCTTTAAGTAAATTGCCTCTTCTCTTAGTAGGGATAGTAAGACAGCTGCTGTGAAAATGATTTTCAATCATGCTTATACAGAACCTGGCTCACAGCAATAATCAGTAACTACTGTGACCATTAACAACTAATGTTTACTACATGCTTCTATGTGCCCTTCACAAAGCCCTATATAGACAAAACAAACTCACGGACCCCAGGATTTTAAATCCCAAGAGGAAAATGTGATTAATTAGCATAATCACAAAAGCACATATTCAAGTATCAATGGATGAGAACAGCAACAGGGGTTTGAATTAAGAACAGTTTTACTTTACAGTATGTATATACTTACTAATGATGTTTTACATAGGTTAAATTGCATTTTCTGTAACATCTTAGGTTACAAGGGAAACCTACCTGGAATTTTAAAAGCAGATTACATGTGGAGATAAGCAGACTGATTTTATGAATATATGGGTGTTAATGAATACACATAAGACATGTCCATAACTTACTATTACTGCACGAAAGCATCTCAGTTGTGTTGAGATGTACACTCATAATGAGACAAATATTCTTTATTCAGAGATAGAAAAGATCATGGAATTTCTTTACATTCTGAATTTGAGCAAACAGCAGGATGTTTGTTGCTACTAGTAAAATAGTGCAAGGTGTTGTTGTTTTTTTGGGGGGTGGGAGTTGGGAATGAAGGAGGAAAGCAAGATGGTGAGTTCTTCTTGACGATGAGAGCAACTCAGCCCCATGTAACAATATAACATACAGTGAAGCAAAACTCTCAAAATGAGAATAGGTAAAACTGGAAAAGTAGAATTGCAAGCCACCTATATAAAAATGGCCTTGAAAGTATTAAACCAGGGAAGACAGCAGGCACGGGGAGGAGGTATGACTTTAAGGTCAGTTTTAGAACAAACAAACAGGGAAGGACTGGCAAGAGGGCGGAGGCAGTGCCAGAACCGTATGAGGGGTGTCAGCTGCAGCAGACAGGTCCAAGAGAAACGGAGGGCAAAAGGCAGGCGGCCGTCAGCTCCTTCACCACGGACAGTTTCCAGGGACTAGTGAGGATATAAACCAGACAGAGGAGATGAAGAAGAATCAAAGAGAAGCTGAAGAGTAGAAAACTGAGGCAATTAACAAGAAACATTTTGTCAACACTGGACTCCAAGGAAGAGCAAAGACAACAAAACCTCAAAATGAATCATGGCAACCTTTCACTCTGATGAGCTACTATAACAGACACCTAATTTCATTACCTACTCATTAGTCACTCCACCTGTGTGTGTGATAATTACAACTTCATTTTCCTTTAGGCAACCACCACATATCTTTGTGGTGGTTTGAATAAGAGTGATTCTACCCCTAGGTCCCAAGGTTTGGCATGTGACCCAGACCAGGTGAATCAGAGTACCCGACTGCCTGGAATGGGCACAGGTTCACACTCGACAATCACAGGAGCGCTATCCCCAGGACTTCTGCTGGTACCACTGGGGGGAAATAACTGGCTATTTCCATAGGGAAGAGATCTAATCTGTGAAAAGAGCTGAGAAGACAGGAGATTGTGGATACAACAATCAAATGGGATAGTCTACCTAAATATAAAGCCAAACATAGGAAAGCCGTACCAAAAACTGGAAAGAGTAATTTCTAATGAAAGTGTTGGGACACTGGAAGGCAGCTTGACCCAAATGTAGCTGCATACCTCGGCCAAAAAATATCTTCTTAAGCTAATGCCCATTTGATTTAGGTTTGTATCTCCTAAAACTGAATAAATACTGATTAATACAATCACTGAACGTAATAGGTCTTTTTAGTATTTTGCAGTCACTAAATGCTTTTAGAGCAGTGGTTCTCAACCTTGCTAATGCCGTGACCCTTTAATACAGTTCCTCATGTTGTGGTGACCTCCAATTTCATTGTCACAAATTGAACATAATTAAAAAAAAAAAAAAAAAACAAATTGAACATAATTAAAGCATAGTGATTAATCACAAAAACAATATGTAATTATATATGTGTTTTCCGATGGTCTTAGGTGACCCCTGTGAAAGGGTCATTCAACCCCCAAAGGGGTCGCAACCCACAGGTTGAGAACCGCTGTTTTAGAGGAAGGCCATCAAAAACTAACAGAAGTCCCATTTGCTTTTTTTCTCCTTAGTTTCCATTGTCCTAGGAGCTGTATCGGTAAAGATATTGTTACGACGTATGTCTGATATCTTACTGCCTATGGATTCTTCTAAGATTTTTATGGTTTCCTGTCTTACATTTAAGTCCTTTATCCATTTTGAGTTTATTTTTGTGTATGGTATAAGTTGGTGGTCTAGTTTCATTTTTTTGCATGTATCTCACCAATTTTCCCAGCACCATTTATTGAAGAGACTGTCTTGACTCCATTGTATGCTCTTGCCTCCTTTGCCAAATATTAATTGAGCATAATAGCTTGCATCGATATCTGGGTTCTCTGTTCTGTTCCATTGGTCTATATGTCTGTTCTTGTGCCAGTACCAGGCAATTTTGAGAACAGTGGCTTTGTAATACAGCTTGATATCTGGTATTGTGATCCCTCCAACTTTGTTCTTCTTGCTCAGGATTGCTGTGGCTATATGGGGTCTTTTTTTATTCCATAGCAGCACAATTTATAATAGCTAAGATTTGGCAACAGCCTAAGGGCCAATCAGCATATGAGTGGATTAAAAAACTGTGGTACATCTACACAATGGAATACTACGCTGCTGTATAAAAGAAGGAATTCTTACCCTTTGCAACGCATGGATGGAACTGGGGAGCATTATGCTAAGCGAAATAAGCCAGTCAGAGAAAGATAAATATCACATGATCTCACTCATTTGTAGAATATAATGAACAACATAAACTGATGAACAAAAATAAATCCAGAGACAGAGAAACATCAATCAGACTGTGTAACCTCAGAGGGAAGGCAGAGGAGGAGGGGTAGTAAGAGATCAACCAAAGGACTTGTATGCATGCATATAAGCATAACCCATGAACACAGACAGTAGGGGGGTGAGGGCATGTGCTGGGGGGTGGGAACAGCTGGGGAGAGGTCAATGGGGGGAAAAGGAGACATACATTAATACTTTAAACAATAAAGAATTTAAATTTTTAAAAAACTAACAAAAAATCTACATCATTCTATACTCTATGCCAAATTACATACTTTATGAAAAGTGTTACAATGAGATTACAAATGTGTCCTGCAAATCTGACTAAGGTTGATTTTTAAATTTTCTTGATTCATAGACCTCCTGACTATCTACCAGAAGATGGCAAAGTAGAGCTAATGAACAGCATGGGAGAACAGAAGAGAAATAAGCAAAGATTTTGTTGTTGTTGTTGTTTTATAAAGAAGGTAAAAATGGTATTAAATACCAGACTTTTTAATATCCATAGTGAAATAAATAATGTTCAATAGAGCATGTGTCATTTTGGGAAAATAGTTACAAAATTACAAGGTAAATCTAGAAATATCCACATATATTTCTCTGTGCATAGAACATATGCATAATGCTATATATCTTTTAAAATAGGTTATAATTCTCAACAGTGAATTTTAAAGTGCTTATTCTACATGAAAATATATGCAAATTCAACTTTGCACATATACCCCAAACTATCAGCTTTACTACAGATAAAAAGAACTTGTTCTACACTCTACTCTCACTGAGTAGAATTCATAACCAAACCTTTTATGATAATGAAATAAAAATGAAGACGTGTTTACTCATACTACCACACCATAGCATAAATATTGTAGCTTATTGCCATTAAATCAACCTAAAAGATAAAAAAGAAAAAAATAACTATAGTAAGTTACTTACATCACAATTACAGCCTAATACTCCATTAGAAAAGGAAATCAAGTTATAGGATTTGTCACCCCAGCGTACTGTTGGATCTCCAGTGAGGACCATTGCAATTACCTAAAATAATTTAATATTTCCAAATTAAAAGGATTTTAATATTGACTTGTAAGTATTTTATCTTAAACATAAACACACACACACACACATATATATATATGTAAATATAGTCTCACTTTTCCCCTTCAGCTAAACCAGTGGTTCTCAACCTTCCTAATGCCGTGACCCTTTAATACAGTTCCTCATGTTGTGGTGACCCCCAACCATAAAATTATTTTCGTTGCTACTTCATAACTGTAATTTTGCTACTGTTATGAATCGTAATGTAAATATCTGATATGCAGGATGTATTTTCATTGTTACAAATTGAACATAATTAAAGCATAGTGATTAATCACAAAAACAATATGTAATTATATATGTGTTTTCCGATGGTCTTAGGCAACCCCTGTGAAAGGGTCGTTTGACCCCCAAAGGGGTCGCGACCCACAGGTTGAGAACCGCTGAGCTAAACCAAATTTAAATAATGATAACAGTTATACTCAAGAGATAATAATTCTGGTCCTCTAGATATTTAAAAATTTCGAGAAATCCTCTATAAAAGAGAATGCTAGTACAATGTTCATAAATGTTTCAAGAACATACAATTGAAAAGACAATGCTTTTGCAACTTGAATAGTATTAAGAGGCCTTGATAAATTCAGTCATTGAAGCCGAAACCGGTTTGGCTCAGTGGATAGAGCGTCGGCCTGCGGACTGTAAGGTCCCAGGTTCGATTCCGGTCAAGGGCATGTACCTGGGTTGCGGGCACATCCCCAGTAGGAGATGTGCAAGAGGCAGCTGATCTATGTTTCTCTCTCATCGATGTTTCTAACTCTCTATCTCTCTCCCTTCCTCTCTGTAAAAAATAAATAAAATATATTTAAAAAAAAAAATTCAGTCATTGAAATTTAGTTACGAGAAAAATATTTCAAAATTCAGATCTCACCACACCTGTTTCTCAAACAGTAGGTTTTGGCCCACTAGTTGAGTCATGAAATGAATTTAGTGCATCACAGTATGTATTCTTTACAAAAAGAAAGAATCAAATAAAACATAAATATCAGAGTACATCACAGATAGTAAAAGTAATTACTGTTTTGTGAAACTTCTATTATATACATGTGTGTGCATAAGCATGTGTGTGTGCAACGTGTGTGTGTAGTGAGCTGCAGTCTATATGTATGTCTAACTGTAGATTGCAGTAAAAAATACTGCATTAAAACATATTCTTCCTCAAGAAGTTTAGTGATTCTTTTGCCAAATAAATAAATAAACAAGAGGAAAAGTTGGTTTCTAGCTACAAGGTTTTTCAATTCTGTATTATTTTATTGCTATAATTTCATATTGATGAATGAATTATGAAATAATTTAAGTGAGACTTCTAAAAATATGACTTTCACATTTTATTATTTCCCAGGAAATGATAATATTTTCCCAGGGGGGGAAAGGTAAAGCCACATTTACCCTTAAACTCACTACAGTCAGTTTGTTCACTAACACCTAATGATAAAATAAATTACTTATAGTTTGATATAATTCTTAGGACAGAACTCAACAACTAAGGTTTCAAGGCACACTGGTATGGGTCATAGGTAGGTTCTCATGTCACCATTGGCATGAGAAGCTCATTTAGCCCAGTGACCTGTGCAAATTTTCTGTATATGCATTCAATAAAAGGGTAGAGAAACACTGATATGGGATTTGCAAACAATAGTCACACTTCTTTAAACAACATACAAGATTTATCTAACTGGACCTAAACAATGTGGAAAGAATTCACAAAGCATTATTTATCTACTAAGAGGCCCAGTGCACAAATTCGTGTACAGGTGGGGTCCCTTGGCCTGGCTGGCGAGTGGGGCCGATTGGGGCCAACCAGCCAGGGGGAGGGACCATGGGAGGTTGGCCAGCCACGGAGGTTGGCTGTGGGAGCGCACTGACCACTAGGGGGCAGCTCCTGCTTTGAATGTTTGCCCCCTGGTGGTCAGTGTGCATCGTAGCTACTGACCGGTTGTCCAGTCTTCCGGTCGTAATCATTGCCTAAGCCAGTGGTCGGCAAACTGCGGCTCACGAGCCACATGTGGCTCTTTGGTCCCTTGAGTGTGGCTCTTCCACAAAATACCACATGCAGGTGCGCACGTACAGTGCGATTGAAACTTCGTGGCCCATGCGCAGAAGTCAGTTTTCGGCCTGGGCAAGTCTATTTTGAAGAAGTGGCGTTAGAAGAAGTGGGAGGTGTCGGTCATTTGGGCGACGGGAGGCCGTGGGATCCGCAGCGTGGGGGAGGTACATTGTTTTGAGGTACATTGTTTTGAGGTACGTTCACTGAGGTCGACCCCTTCCAACTCTCCCATCCACACTCGTCTATCTGAAACAAGTATACAAGATGAGTGTGGATGGGAGAGTTGGAAGGGGTCGACCTCAGTGAACATACCTCAATCAGATTAAGGACGTTTTTAACAAAGGCCAGCTTAGGAGTACCCTAATTAAGTTAATAACAATGTACCTACCTATATAGTTTAAGTTTAAAAAGTTTGGCTCTCAAAAGAAATTTCAATCGTTGTACTGTTGATATTTGGCTCTGTTGACTAATGAGTTTGCCGACCACTGGCCTAAGCGACCGAATGACCGGATGACCGGATGACCAGTTGCTATGATGAGCACTGACCACCAGGGGACAGATGCTCAACACACAGGATCGGGTTCCCTCCAGTCTGGATTGGGCCTACGGGGATCAGGCTCCCTCCTATCTGGATCGGGCCTGCGGGGATCGGACCAAAACTGGCTATCCAACATCCCCTGAGGGGTCCAGGATTGCAAGAGGGCGCAGGCCAGGCCAAGGGACCCCCACCATGCACTGGGCCTCTAGTATAGATTATAAACTTCAATTTGGTACATGTATATATACCATGTAAGAAAATGTAAGAAAACATCTTATATAAAATGTAAGAAAACATTTTAAGAGCCTGCATATAACAAAATAATCTTCTCATGTTCAATATATACAAGAGTCCTTCAGAAAAAATTTGTGGGAAGAAATAACAGAACAAGATAGTTAAGTACCTGTGAATAATCTTCTGGTGTTACATGTGGACTGTCATCCTCTAAGGAATACACCAGCAAACTGCTCTGAATTTTTTCCAACCTAGTCAAGTTCTCTGGATCAAGATTAATCAAATAGTCTCGTGCCTAAAGGAGATAATGATTAAATGTTACAAATTAATACTATACCCAGGAGAGAAAAGGTTAAGACAAGCATATAATTAATAATGTATTAGATATTTGAAACTTGCTGGGAGTAGATCTTAAAATTTCTTATCACAAGAAAATAAATTTGTAACTGTGTGACACGTTAACTAGACACTGTGGTGATTATTTCACTATATGCACAAATATCAAATCATTATGTTATACACCTGATTACAGTGTAATGGTCTATGTCAATCATAACTCAATTAAAAAAAAGAAAAGTGTAAATTATAACCTTTGCCCATCGAGTTCGCTCCTCGCTAGTTAATGCTGCCACCCCGGGTCCATCAGGTTCGCTATGGCACTTCTTGTGGATGTATGTCAGTTGCCTTAAGGAAGATTAAAGAAAGAGGATTCAAAAAGAGCATAGGCAGGATCACTAGCTACTTTGGCCTTTAATAGGTCATAATGTTTACCCTGTTTAAATGCTTTGATATATTATCCAAAGAAAGGGGTTATAATCTCAACGGTAATGGATTTATTTCCAATACCACATCATTTTTTAAAAAGAGAACTCCATGATTAATTAACACCAAAAGTGTATTTGACAATAAATTTGGTGTTTGGCCGATATAATTTATGCTTTTAAAATGTACATGTACTTTCAGGGTCTAAGTAAATATCCCTTACACAACAGAGAACTTGAATTATATTCTGGTAAATAATCTCACAAATATCATACACATCTTATCTAGCTGAAAACTATGTACATAAATACAGGGTGTCCCCCAAAAATGTATACACACTTCAACAACTGATTCTTTCTTTTCAGATTTAACCCATTAGAATTAATAATTATTCAAAGTGCATATACAATTTTTAGGACAACTTATATTTAATAGAGGACTTACCCATACCAAATTAATATTTGTGTTAAACCCAACAAACATTAATACCATTTAGTCCATGTTGTTATTAGTTACAACCAATATATTTTAAAGACTCTATTAGCTAAGAATAAATTCTTTCACCCCATAACATTCTATATTCCCACTCTGGTGGGTTTAATGTAATTTTTATTTTTATTTTTTTAAAATATATTTTATTGATTTTTTATAGAGAGGAAGGGAGAGGGATAGAGAGTTAGAAACATTGATGAGAGAGAAACATCGATCAGCTGCCTCTTGCACACCCCCTACTGGGGATGTGCTCGCAGCCAAGGTACATGCCCTTGACCGGAATCGAACCTGGGACCCTTGAGCCCGCAGGCTGACGCTCTATCCACTGAGCCAAACCGGTTAGGGCAGTTTAATGTAATTTTTAAACAAATGGCCAGTAAATAACAGGGTTCTTCCATAAAGAAATACATTTTTATCAGTCACAAATCTACAGAGGTTAGTTTCAGCCTTACTTCCTCATGGCACATGCTAAGAAATTACCTCAATTAAAAGCTTCCAAGCATTTCTCAGAAAGTGAGCTAATGTAGCTTAAAATATGATCAAAAGGCACCACTAGTAGTCATCCCTTATTTGTGACTTTTTCATTCCAAACTGGAAAAAAATACAACTTTCAATTATATTTTTGTTCCTTAACTATTTCTGTAATACTGACGAGGAAATAAACTCCTCCCCCTTTATTTGAACACGAGTGGAGTCCTGGGCAGCATAGCTTCTTCACCAAACAATCTGCACCTATGGGGCGGGGGTAAGTGACATGCCTTGTCTGTCCCTGTTTACCTATATTTGCTAAATCTGATTTTGCTTTAATTAAAAATAAAGTTTCACCCTAGCCAGTTTGGCTCAGTGGATAGAGCGTCGGCCTGCAGACTGAAGGGTCCCGGGTTCGATTCCGGTCAAGGGCATGTACCTTGGTTGCGGGCACATCCCCAGTAGGGGGTGTGCAGGAGGCAGCTGATCGATGTATCTCTCTCATCCATGTTTCTAACTCTTTATCCCTCTCCCTTCCTCTCTGTAAAAAATCAATAAAAATATATTTAAAAAATAAAGTTTCTACAGTTGGTGGGTATGTGGTGAGCACAGTGCCTAGGCATGAATTCTGAATGCTAAAGTAATAAAATCTACCTCAGCCTTTTTCTCCACATGGTATTGGTTGCTGCTCTTTCCTTACCACCTCAAGTCACCAGTTTTGACTATGAAACTTTCTCCTGCTCCCTGATATGGCCATTTTTATATTCAGTGGGAAATGATCGCCTCATAAAACATGGTCATTATTACAAAGAAATTACTAGAGAAAATGTGTTAAACCTGAAATGACATTTTTTAAGTTTGATAATAAAAGGTCAGATAATAACTGCCTAAATCTTCACCATTAAGAAGTCCATACTCCCTAAATCAATCTACTGATTCAATGCAATCCCTATCAAAATCCCAATTGCATTTTTCAAAGAAATAGAAAAAAAAATCCTAGAACTCACAAGAAGCCACAAAAAAAAAACACACACAAAAAAAAACAAAAAACTCTGACGAGCCAAAGCAATTTTGAGCAAGAAGAAAAAAGCTGGAGGTATCACACTTCCTGATTTCAAAATAAATATAATACTACAAAGCGACAGTAATCAAAACAGTATGGTGTTGGCATAAAAATGGACATATACGCCCTAGCCGGTTTGGCTCAGTGGATAGAGCCTGCAGACTGAAGGGTCCCAGGTTTGATTCCGACCAAGGGCACATGCCTGGGTTGCAGGCTCGATCCCCAGTAGGGGGCGTGCAGGAGGCAGCCGATGGATGATTCTCTCTCATCATTGATGTTTCTATCTCTCTCTCCTTCTCCCTTCCTCTCTGAAATCAGTAAAGAAATATTTTTTTTAATGGACATATATACAGTGGGACAGAATAGAGAGCCCCCAAATAAATCTATCTATATATATATATATATATATATATATATATATATATATATGGTCCACTGAGGTTGCCAAAGGTGCCAAGAATACACAATGGGAAAAAGATAGTCTCTTAAATAAATGGTGCTGGGGAAACTGGATTGCACATACAAAAGAATGGAACTGGACCCCTATTTTATAGCATACACAAAAATCAATTCAAAATGGATTAAAGGTATAAATGTAAGACCCTAACAATAAAACTCCTAGAAGAACACATGGGGGGAAAGCTTCTAACAATCTTGGTAAGTATTTCTGATCGTGGGGAAGGGCACCTATTAAGAATAGAGCCACAGTTGTTTAATAATTATTCACCCTGCCTGGCCGGAGTGGCTCAGTGGTTAAGCATCAAGCTATGAACCAGGAGGTCACAGTTCGATTCCCGGTCAGGACATATGTCTGGGTTGTGGGCTTGATCCCCAGTGGAGGGCATGCAGGAGGCAGCCGATCAATGATTCTCTCTCATCATTGATGTTTCTCTCTCTGAAATCAATAAAAATATATATATATTTTTTAAATCTATATGTACATATAAGTAGACACGTAAGGCTAGAATACAACAAACTAGTAACAGTGATTAATTCTGGGGCAGCAGATGAAATTGGTAGTATTTGTAATGTTTTCCTTTCTCCAACAAGAATATATTCATATATGCCTAGTAAAACTAAAAATTAATTTAAATTAAAAAGAAGATAAAAATATTTTTTTAATTCAGCATATATAAAATTCTTAATTTTCTGTCACCTTATAAATAGGCAATTCTGAATTTATTTTTAACTCATGCAAAAGCTTAAGACCTAATGAGATTCAAGAAAGTAGTTTGAAAACCTGAGAATCTCTGGTGGGGTGATCAAACATCCTTCGTGAATTGCATCAAAGACAAAAACGCGGCCTCGGCACAGCACTACAATGTGAGTTGGGGAATACCCTTCGCTCTCTGGAAAAAACAACAGAAAACACAAAACCAAATCTTTCAAAGTTAAACAAGAGTAAAGTTGCATATACATTCCTCCAATATTTTATTTATCATGTATTCAGTAAGTCACATGAATAAAACACTCATGAGGTGATGGAATTCCAGTAACTATGATATAAATGCATGCTCCCGAAACCTGTCCATGTGAAACATCTAGAAATCCATGGGAGTTTCAAGTATTTGTACACCTTGAAAATCATATAAATTCCAACTACTGCAGGGCTTTCTAGTTTTATTTACGGATAGGAGGGGGAAGGGGAAAGGATAGCAGAGGGACCCTGGAAGAGAGCTATTTGAATTAGCAAGTTTCTCTTTCATATTATGTTAATGTTGATTGCAATAATATCTAATTTATTTCTCAATAAAATAGTTTTCAGGAGCATAAGGGCACTGTACGCCTGAGTGGCAAAGAGAAAGAATTCTGCCCAATCTGTAGTTTTATTTAAAGCTCTGATAATGCCTGGTAAGCCACTGGTATCTGATTCTGTGTTTCCTTTGGCACACCTTAGGTCCCCAAGAACTAGTATGCTACAAACCTCAGACTATTCTGATTTAGCCTCATTTTTTTCAAGTATTAGTCCCTTTAACAAGGGTCTTCTTGTATGACTCCTGCTCCTTCCTTCTAAGAAAGGGGGGTGGAGGGGTGGGGTGGTGAAAGAACAGTTAGAAAAGACATATATTGCCTCTGGGATGAAGTTTACTGGTTGATATTATGTACAAGGAACTGTGCCAAATGCTTTACATATATTATCTCATGAAATCTATTCATCAACTATTCAGTTCCTGATAGGATTACTAATTCTTCCCTTATATCCTATTTCAAGTCCTAAGAGGTGAGGCATGCATTTTCCTTGTCCCTCATGGCTAATCCCAACCCGTTTCTTCTCTCTTCTCCTTCAACCCTCCCCCTTTCTCTTTTATATTTACCACCATGTAAATGTAGAAGATTCATATAAAAATAATAAATGTTTGGGAGGAGGGTGACAGAAGGGTGCTACCTCAGGATGAGCCTAAGATGGAATATTTGAGCAAAGGAAAAGAAGGAGCGAACCATGAAAATATTTGCAGAAAGAGAGTTCCAGGCAAAGGAAACAACAGCAAGTACAAAGGCATTAGAACAAAAATGAACTGGTTTGCTTAAAGGAAAACAAGATCAGTGCAGCTGTAGCAGGCAGATATGGTTGGGACCAGATCACACTGCCTTCAGAAAGGGCTTTCAATGTTAAGTATGATGGGTTTCAAGCAAGAGAATAATAATGTGATCTAATTAATACTTCAAAAAGGTCACTCCAGCAGTTATACGGAGAAGAGATTATAAGAGGAAAGAGAATACACAGCAAGATCAATTAGGAAGTAACTGTAGGGGTCCAGATGATAATGATAGAAGTGGAAGGTGATGGTGGCTTTGACTGGAGTGTGACACGTGAAAGAGACAAGAGGTGAATTTTTTTTTCCCCTTTGAGAAGATATTATAGATTGGAACTACCCACTAAGAAGGGGAAACTGATAACACAGCAGAGAGAGAAAAGATAATCCAAAGCAAGGTCCTTGATTAGGCAAGAGGAGGAGGGGCCCACATAGAAGGGTTGTCCTAAGGAGTCAGACAGTGTGTCTATTTTTAAAAAGGGAAGGCAAAATATATGACTGTGCAATAATGTATTGCAAGGGGGTTGTAGGATGGGCAAATACTTAAATGAGTATATTTCTATGACTGCTGTAACAAATTCCCACTAACTTAGTGGAAAGTACCACTAACAACACAAATTTATTACAAGTCTGGGGACCAGCAGTCTGAAATGTATCTTACTGGGCTAAAATGAAGGTGTCAGCAGACCTGTGTTCCTCCTGGAGACTAAGCAAGAATGTCTCCTTCAGGTTTCTAGCCTCTGGAGGCTGCCCACATTCCTGGGCTCTGCCCGCTTCCTCCATATTTGAAGTCATCGAGGGGAAATCATGACTTCCTCATGCTGCTGTCTCTGGTTTTTCTCTTCTGCCTCTTTCTTCCACTTGTAAGAACTCCTGTGATTACTTTGGGCCTGCCTGAATAATCCAGGACAATCTCCCCATCTCAACGTCAATTTATTAAATTCATTAGCAACCTTAATTTCATCTACAATCTTAAATCCTCTTTATCATGTAACCTAACACATTCAACCGGTTCCATACTAGCCAGGGAGGGAGGGGCGGGGTGTAAATTCTACCTACCTGATAGGCTGGTAAATTTGGGAATGGGAAGATTGCTTTACATTTGTTGAGAATAAGAAAAGAGTTCATTAGCTGAGAATAAGGAAGGAGAAAGGCATGAAACAGCCTTTTCTGGGAGAATAACCTGACAAGAGAATATGGCAAGATAGTAATGTGGGGTCCACTTAAGGTTTAACTGAGAAAAGTAAGTGGGGGGGGAAAAGGGAGAAAGAAAGAAAAAGAGAAGTAAAATGAGGTTTTGTGGTATTTCTCTGGGCAAGTAAATTGCTAGGATTAGGTATCTTGTGATATGTAGAGGTGATAGCTAAAAATTGAAATTTATACAGTGTTATTAATTTTCAGGGGTG